CATTAACTACCCCTTACGTTAAGGTATCAGCTTCAAATACACCTGTGTTACCTGGGAGGCATTCTTAGTCTTCTGTACTATGCTGAAGTTTGAGAAGCACAGCTGCAAACATCAGTAAACACATCAGCAGCATCAGCTTTCTGTCCACAGACAAGCTATTCCACGTCTTCAGATCAGTGGTTCTTGAACGTTAGTGAGCATCAGAATCACTGGAGGCTTGTTAGAACACAGCTCGCTGGGCCTCATCCTGAGTTTCTGATTCAGTAGGTCTGAGATGGGACCTGAGAATTAGCATCCCTAACAAGTTCCCAGTGAAGCTGATGCTGCTGGTCAGGACCACCCTTTGGGAACCACTGTACTAGTTGATTTCTAAAGAAACTCCATGAGATATGGAGGCAAAGTGTGGAAGCATGCTGATAATGAAGGAGGTGAGAAGACAGGGTTCTGAAGTAGAAAGAGGTCAGGGCCCAAAGGCAGGACAGCCTAGCAGAAAACTTAGACTTGCTCCAATGATCCACCAAAACACAAGAGCCTTTGGTTGTCCAAATTCTGGGGGCCTCTTCCTCTTGCTTTCTTTGGGGGATATTTTCTGCCTACTGCCCTCAGGAAAGGGACAAAAGGCGGTTCCTTCTCCCAGCCACAGGTGGCCTTTTCCTGGAGGGAAGTGTTCACACAGTTAATCAAGCTGTCAATGTGCTGTTTGGCCCTCTGCACAGTCTCCCAGGGGCTCTTGACATTTGTTAGAATTTACACAGAACTCAGTGAAGTCTTAAACTATATATTTTTTCTCTTTTGAGATGATCTACTCCCTAATAGGATAAATTCAAAGGAAAACATGCTCTGATCTTTCAGCTGCCTCTTCTCGACACAAACAATAAAGAACTAATTAGTGGGCCCACTGAGGAGGCAGACAGAAAGGGATTCCTAACAGGACCCTAGACTGGGAAGCCATCCTTCAGGTAGGGACTCTTGACTTTGGTCATCATGTCAGGAGTTGGTTCCATATTTCAATGGAGGGGAAACTGGCATTGAGGTGTCTGCCTGGTATTACTATGGCATCTATTGGGCAGATAGTTCTGTTAGTGATTTAGCCCTTTGTATGCCTGAAAGCACTTTGACTCTAACAAGAATCCTATGAAATCAGCAGAATAGGAATGACAACCTCATTTGACAGATCAGACAATTGAGAAGTGAGGCTCAGAAAAAAACAGTGGACATGGAGTCGAAACATGTGTGTTGTACTCCTGGCTCAGCCACTCATCGTGTGGCCTTGAGGGGCTCTCTTCCCCTTTCTAGGCCTCGGTTTTATCATCTGTGAAATGAAGGGGATGGACAAGGTGATTGTGAGGTCTTTGTACAGATCTCTTATTCTAGGAATAAGCCACACAAGGAAAAGGACTTGCCTGGGGTCATGCAATTAGTGAGATGAGTCATAATAACACAGAGAGACCAATGCTCCCCATGCCGTCCCTGTTGAGAAAGAGAATTCAGAGCACCTCCAGTGCCACCACTGCCATCTCCCCAACAGTTTGGGCTGCTGGGGCCTCTAGTTGACCTCTGAGCATCAAAAGACCAAGACCCCTAGGGGTGGTACGGTAGAGGGGCACATACCCAGAATGCTCCCTGACTGTGACTGGAAACCCCAGTGCTGCCAGCTGATTAGAAAGGAGAAGGCCATTTCCTTTAGCATCTTCTTCACCAGACACAATGGGCACCAACCCCATCCAGGGCCCTCTGATAGATGAGGGGATGTGGAAGCAAAGCAGACTTACTGTCTACTCGTGAGAAAGTCACGATGAGGAGAGTGAGAACCCAGCTCCTGCATATTGCTGGATAGGTTGTGCTTGTCCACCAAGGGGCCAGGTTCAGCCCCTAGTCGGATCTTGAAGCCTATACCTGGCATAGGTCTGAATTGGCCTGCAAAAAGGAGTGCCTTTTTTGCAACTCACACAAAGGCGCTAGCAGCGGCCCAATGAGCACAGTCTTCTTCAAGGCAAGTACAGGATCCATAGAACTTTAGAAGGCACCAAGTTTAGAGCAGTTGGCATGTAGACATCATCCTCCAAGCAGACTGAGGAGAACAGATGCACCCATGTGACCCCAATTGAGCCACTGACCAGAAGAATTATGTGCTCTCTTTCCAAGAGTCAAACCTTCTAACCACATGGAATCAATGAATCCAACTAGCTTCCTATCTGTACTGTGCTGGTAAGTGACAATCCTTCCATCTGTTCAGGACAGTCAACAGAATCAACTGGGCTATGTCTCAGGCACAATGATTAAACTGCCTGGGCGAAACCAAGATGAACACGACCTTCAAGAACCAAGGGGCTCTCAGCCTAGCGGAGCACAAAAGACACAGACACAAACACCCAGAAGCAGAACAGAGAATGGTCAGCGCTAGAAGATCCAGGTTATGAGGTGGGAAAATGTGACCTGAGAATTCAGAGGAAGGAAAGATTAATTTCAACTGGGGACCCAGAAAGCCTTCATGAAGGAGATGGCACATGGAGAGACCGTCCATCAAAGATGCCAGAAGGCCCAAGTTCTAGAAGGCCAGTCAGCCAAGTAATGAAAAAACCAGTTCCTTCCATTTTAAAATGGAGCATTTGCCCTAAGTGCCTCACAGCATTATGAGGATTAAATGAGAACTCATTTAAATGCACATCAGATAAACAAAAGCACCAAATATAAAGCCTTTCGTCATCACCAGGGGAAGCGTGGGGAGGAAGCTAAAAGCAGAAAGCCTCTGAGGGAGGAGGTGGGTGGGGCGGGTGGTGCCTGCCAAACCCAGGGTTAATATGAACACCTACCAGGCTCGTAACTGGCTCCAGCAATTTTTTAAAAACTCCCACGGCTAATTTTATTGAAGAGAGCCAAGAAGAGTAAGTCAGAATGTCTAAATTCCTCTGCATCAGGAAAATTAAAGTCTCAACCAGAGAAGTGGCTTGCCACCCTGAATAACAGGATAACAGCCACTTATGGTCAGTGGTCGGTGAACCTGGGTCTCCTCCCTGGCTCCCTGGGCCCAGCATGCACTTAGCAGTACTCATGAATGAAAGGATGGGCTTCCTTCTACTTTCCAAGGGGCTTATTCATGTTCCATTTTGATTTGCAACTACAAGCCAGTGGGGCAGACAGGGCACCTATTATCATCTTTGTCAAAGATGGGGAAACTGAGGTTCCCGGAGGATGAGTGTCCATGTCCCAAGCTAGCACAGTCAGAAGGGAGGCCAAAACTTCGTCTCGTCACACAGCATCACTTCCTCACACCATGTCATCTCCTAGGAACTACTACTACAGTCAATCTTCGCCCCAGCTAGTCACCTTCCCTGACTTTACTGAAGGCCTACTATGTGCTGTTTTGAGTACTTTCCCTGCAATCCTGCACTTAATCAGACCCTTCCATCAAGGGAGGTCCTATTATTATTCCAAAATGTACTGGTTTATTCCAATTCAGAAGATGGTTTTGTGCATCCCAACAAGACTGTCATGGATCCCCTGGTCCTTTTACCAGATAAGAACTGATTTGGATTAAAACTTCCAAAGTCATTTAAGTCATTGCTCCTTAGAAGAAAGAGAAGGTAGAAACAGCACAGGGCTTTAGGAAGACAGAGGAGGGGACTGCTTTCTTGTTTTTTTCTTTTTACCATGGACATTCCTGCCTATAGAGCTGCCTGTCAGTTTTGACAGATGGCTTGGCTGCAGGAGAGGGGCAGAGGGCAAGCTCATGATTAAGGCAGCACCAAGGAGCTACAGCCAGCTGGGCTGATTTGGGGTCTGAAATCTGGGCCAGAGCCCAAGTTCCAGCCAGTGAGGGTGAGACAGGGAGGCCTGCCCCCCCCACCCCCCACCAGACATCCTCCCACTGTAGCTGCACCAGACAGGTCAGTGTCTTTCTTTGCATCTGTGACCTTTTAGCCACAGGCAAATAGGGTGGCAAGGGAGAGCAGGGAAATGGGGTCTCAGAGAAAGCTGAAGCTTGTTGAAGGTCAGAGCTACCCTCCCCTTCATGACCCACCCCAGCTCCTTGACTGATAACCATTTATGGTGCACCTACTTCACAGGGGATGTTTTTACTCTAATTAAAAAAATTTGTGGTACAAAGGTTTTAGCAGGAGGCTGGAAATGACACCCACCCCCCCAGCTCTGTTGAGGAGCACTTGGTGACATGCACTCAAGCTGAGGTGCTCAGAGGCAGGAACTGGGGGTGGGAGAATAGAATTTCAGAGGACTCTCAGCTCCTGAAGGGAGCAGTGGATTAGATAAGAAGAGGTTTGGGGCCTTGAGAACCAGTGTAAGTGTCTCCACCAGAGTGACCAGGTCAGCTCTGATCTCTGCAACTGGTGGAGCAGTTAGCCATCCACCACACGGGGTCTCAGTACCATCCAGACACCCGTAGCTTTAGTATCACACTGAGGAGCCAGGGCATCCGGGACCCTGGAGAGCGGAGCCATTGGCTGGACAACATACACTGAGGATTAGTTGATCAGATTAACTGTTCGTGCCCCCTGCTCAGTGACAGAGAGAATGGGACACAGAATGGGCCAGCTTTGATGGGAGGAGGTGGCGAGATGAACCGGAGCTTAAGGCTCGTATGGGGAGAAGCCTCACCGGAGTCCTGAGCAGACGGTAGTGGGGGGAGGTGGTTAGGTGGACAGCAGGGATAAGAGGATGCTAGAGGCAAATTCACCTGCCACACAATTTTAAAGCCATAGAGTTTAGAGCTGGAAGAAATGTTAGAGATCATCTAGTCCAACCCCTTCCTGTACAGCCTGGAGTTATTGGTCATGGCCATGTGGCAGAGCCAAGACTAAGAAGCAGAACCCCACCACAACAGCTTTTCAGGCCAGTGATCTTTCTAGCACCCTCCAGCCTCCCTCAGATACTGACCCCAGTCCCCTGATTCCTATGGAGATAAGAATGTGTGCCTCTGGAACACTGTGAGCATTTTTGAGGATTCCATGGACCACCCTATCAGCCATTCCAGACAGACATACCTTGTGTGAATAATGCTGGTCCACGATCCTTGCCAACCCGAAATCACCAATCTTGAGCACAAGGTCCTCCGTGCTGATGAAGATGTTGGCGGGCTTCAGGTCCCTGTGCAGCACGTTGGCGGAGTGGATGTACTTGAGCCCACGGAGCAGCTGGTACATGAATAGCTTTGCGTGCTCCTCTGTCAGCGTGCCCTGCTCCAGCAGGCGAGCCAGGTCGGTCTCCATGTACTCCTGGACGATGTAGGCCACGCTGAACTTGAACAGCTCGCCCTGCAGGTCAGTGCCCTTGGGCCCCAGCACCTCGTACACCTTCACGATGTTGTCGTGGTCCAGGCGCCGGATGATCTTGATCTCTCGGAGCGCATGCTTCATGCTGCGGGCGTCACTCAGGGCGATCTTCTTCACGGCCACCTTCCGGCATGCCCTGCTGTCCACGGCTGACAGCACCAGCCCATTGACGCCGAAGCCCAGGGGTTGGAAGTTAACGAAGCGCCCACCGAGGTCATACCCATAGACACTGGCGATGCAGTCGCCCTTCTCGGCCATTGTTGGCTTAGTGGTCAGGGGCTGCCCGAATGATGAAGGGGCAGTCACGAAAGCCCAAGTTACAGCTAGTGGCTTCCCCAGCACACCTCATTCTGTCAAGTCCAAAGCTGAAAGATGCTTTTTCTCCTGGTGATGTCACTGCCACCAGCTCTCTGGAGACAAGAGTGGCATATGTCTACACTCGCTGAGCTGCAGAAGTCGGAGCTCAGACTGTCTTTTTAACTTGCAGTGAGGGGGCTGTCCTCTAACTCCAGCATATCCTGAACCCTCCTCGAAGCTTCGAAAGGTTCATGCTTCTTTCAAATATAGCATGTTGGAAAGAAAAACAGGTCCTGTTATCTATGTGAACGTAAAATTTCCTATCATAACGGATCTCAAAGTAAAGATGCAGACACTGTTCCCTTGAAATCTCTGTTAAAAGAGGCTCCTTCTGGCTGAAACGTGAAGCTGTTGCTAAGCTGTGTTCCTTTACTTATGATGGTCCAAAGTTCAGTTGTATCACAGCCTCCAGCAGCTTGATAGCTGCTCTCTGCGTCCCAAGCAGTATGAAGGGATTTCGATAACGGATTCTGGAGGCTTCCAGAGGGTTCTTTCCACCTCTGTCAGCTCCCCTTTCTACCAGCTCATCTTCGATTCTGAAAACCCAAACCAGTCTGCTGAGCACTGGTGAAGAAAGCTGGAGAAACCCAAGCACCTTTCATGAGCTCTACACCTGAAGTCCCAAAGCCGCGGGAAGCTCAGCTGCCAGGCCAGGATCCTCCGGAGGCTTCAGATGGGGGCAGCATCCTCTGTCACGCCCTCATCCACGCCACCTCAAAGGAGACTGTGTTCTGCTGGAGTCGGTGAGGCTGCAGGAAGGTGGCATCTCTCAGACCACGTCTCCTTCCCTGTCAAAGAAAGAACGTTGGGTAAATTTCCACACTCCGGCTTCCAACACCTTTCCACTTGCGTGTCCTTTGTTAACCAGCCCAAGTGTTATTTGATCTGTCCAGCCAGCTGAAACACTGCTTGCTCAGGGGATTCCAAGCTTTGCGCTGCCCAGTCACCCCTCCTGCTGCGTGCAGCGTTTCCCTGGAAGGGGGAGAAGACGAATTGATTTGATAAGACCATCAAATGGTGTGCCTTTTATGTAAATGCCTGCTCCCCAAAGGTTCACGCACACAAATTGTGGGTGGGAATGATCAGTTCTGACCTTTGCGAAATTCATACATTCTGCTCCTCAAACGCGTGTCATCCCTAGCTGAGAAATGTGAGAGAAAAAAGTAACTAGTTGCAGACAGAAAATAAAGGGTCAATAATCTTGTGTTCCCACTTGGACCCCTTTTCTTCCCTCTTTTGCAAATGTCTTTGAATACTCCAAGAGACAATTTGCCATGCACAGAGATTTAATTACATTTGTATCTCTTGCTTCCCACGTAGGTGGCATAAGCACACATACCAAATTACAAGGAAATTATATTGCCACCCTAAAAAAGCGACTCTCTGCCCAGCAAACCAGGGCACATGGTGACACCAGGACTGGCATGGCGAGCTATATTCTTTTTGATGATAGAGACCCAGCTCTTCAAAGCAATGGGTTGAATCCAAGCCCAACTGCCCCCTGGTGGCTGCTGCCTCAAATTACAGACATAGGAACTAAGTGGGGAGAAAAAACTGCAAAACTAGCAATAGAAATTCCAACCTCTGAAGCAAAGGCAATATCATAGCTTCTAAGGGAGTGGCAGGCTTTATAAGTTTATTAAGTTCATAGACACACAGAAAATAAATACTGTCTCCAGCATTGGAAATGAATCTAGCTGGGGCTGCTGCTTAATTCTCATCATACTGTAGGCCTCATTCCGTAGGAATACTTTCATATCTGAACTCTGCACAACTCTGCAAATGATAAATGAAGCAAAATAACAGGCAACTCAATGCTCTGAAATTAAGGGGGCAAATTAGAAGACACAAATGATCTAAAATAGTAAATAATGAGATGCTCTCTAGAGGCTTCCATTGAAAGAAATTTGCCAAGGGTCTGGAACATAGTAATTGTTCAACAGATGTTACTTGTTGTTGCTGTTGTTAAAAATTCCCTTACACTTGAATAAGATGTATCTACTATTCTGGTGTTTCATCAAATCTTAAGCAATGCTACTCTGCATGTTTTGTTGGGCCCAGCAGCAAAATAATCATAGTCTTACAGAATTTCAGATTGGGAAGTCCAGTGGTCCTTAGCTGGGGATGGACCTGCCATCCTTGGCTCATTTGACAAGGAGTCACTACTGGCCTTTCAGAGGCAGGGTCAGAGATGCTACCCATCCTGCTGAACATCCCCATCAGTGAATAACTGACATCCATCCCCAATGCCAACAGCACTTCCACTGAGAGACAATGATTCTAGTCTAAGTTCTCATTTTGCAGATGAGGGCACTGAGGCTCAGAGAGCACCAGCTCAGTGTTCCAGTTAGACAGGGTCAATAAACATTTGATGAATAGATAAATGAAGACCGTCCACTCTGTTTGAGGATGCCTAGCCAGTTGGAGACAGTACTGAGACCACCCACTGAGCCACAGTCTATGGCCTGTGCTAGTGAAGTCCACCTGGATATCTAACTCTGGGGGACAAAAGAGCCACCCCAGTGCCCCAACCCATCCTTCTGACTCCTGCTGCCCAAGTCAGGTAAGGGAAACTAAACTGGAACTTCTTTCACTTTCCATTTATGAGCCTGGTCTGGTTCCCAAGGGCCCAGCAAACAGAGGCTTCATGAAGAGAGATGCTCAAGCCTTCTTCCCTTTCCAGCTCCCACTGGGTTGCACACAGAGACAGGAACAAGCACCTAAGCAGGAAGGAGATGACATCACCAGGAAGCCGAAAGCAGGATTTGTCTGAGATCAGCTGCAATGCAGATAATCTGTGAATAATTAAGAGGCGCTTTATTTATTTTTAAAACTCTTCCCTTTTCCTCTCACATAGGGGAGGGACTGTCTCCCTTGTGTGCGTGTGGTCTTCCCAACATGCTGTCAGCTTCAGTGGGCAGGTACCATGTCACCTTGGGAAGGCTCGGTTCCAGCCACTCCACCTTCCTCGTGGTCCTCTAAATATACTCTTTCAATTCCTGCCATGTTTCTTGGCTTGCACCTTCCCAGTTCCTGAAATGTTCTCCGGCTTCCTCCCCACTTGTTGAAATCCTGCCCATCCTTCAGAATTCAGATGAAGTCTCACTTCCTCTCTAAAGCCTCCATCCCAGTCTCAGCGACATTTCTCCCTTTTCTAAACTCCCGAAGTGTGTTCGTGCGTTTACTGTACTTGACATTTACCATATACTAATCTGGGCTGTTATTTAACTTTTTATACATGTCCATCTCCCAACCAGACTTTAAGCTTTTCAAGTCCAGGGCACAAAGTAGTGCTTAGACAATAACTGGGGATTGGAAGAACCTGAGGAACGTTTGTTATGTCTACAAAATTGGATGCCCACATTTCCCAGACGGTCAGCCTCCCCCCAGCCCATCTTGCTGCTCTAATGCAACTTGATCAACAGGGCTCTCCTCATATCCAGCCTCAAACACTCAGACAAGCCGATAGTTCTGAACTTCAACCCTCTTAGCATCATCTTCAGCTTAGATGCTGCCTCTCTTGGAATTTTAACACTAGCCAGTCAGCCCTAGTCTGACCATTTCTCTGTTCCCACTTGAGTGTACTGCTATTCATCTCTTCTCAAACCTCTTCATTTTCTAAGTTTCTTTCTATCATTTCTACTGTAAATCCTTCGCCTTTTGCCATAGGTGGACTGATTGTGAAACATCTATTATCTAAGAAGTCTCAGATAAGTGGTTCATTTCTTGCATGATATGCCAAGAGGCATGGGCCCGTCAGCCCTGGAGAGGGGCAGACCCAACATCTGATGTGACTGACCACCTGGGCAGAGGAGTGAGGCAGCTGTTGGTGTGATGCAGCTTCTCAGGGCAAAGTGCAGTCATTCTCCATTCAGACCTGCTCCGAATTTCAAACCAGGGAGCTGGCATTCGCCTTGAGAGAAGGCAGGTTCATTGTTCTAGCTGTGCTCAAATGACACCCAAAGAGAATACATGCAACTCTTACCAGGGCAGCCCAGGCTCTCACGAGTCCATAGTGAACACTGTAATGAAAGACAGAAGTAGAAATATCTACCCCCAAGTCTCCTAACAATGGTGCTTCATGTGACCACTGATTTCTCACTGACTCTCCAGCAATATCTTATTTGAGTCCAATTAATTACCCTCCCACACATCCAGTCTTTTAGCATGTGGAGGCAAACCAGAGACAAGACGGTGTGTGCCAACTGTCCCATTGTGGGATTCCTGGGGCTCTGGTTTACAAAGAGGCTTTGGAAAGTTTAAATTTAGACTCAGCTCCACTGCCTGCTCAGATCCTCCCAAACCTCATGCTGTCAATTTTCAGCAGGAACTATGGCCTCCAGCGAGGTGCTGACATTTCACAGACACTGCTTTCTTCCCTCTCCTGAGCACCCAAAAACTCATAGGAAATCCTTCTTAGGTGAGGCTGATCTTTACGGTTGAACAGGCTGTGCACTGCACAATTCTAGGTGGCATGATTCATATCACAGTCAGGTCTGTCTGACTCTAGGGTTCATGAACCTAATCACTATAGTTTATGTGAACAAAGTCCTCTAGACCAGGGATTGGCAAACTTTTTCTATAAAGGGCCAGAGAATAAATATCTTAGGTTTTACAGGACAGACAGTCTCTGCTGCAACTACTCAGCACAACAACTCAATCCAGCTCTTGTTGCACAAAGGCAGCCACAGACAATACTTAATTGAATGGCATGGCTGCATTTCAAGAAAACTTTATTGACAAAAATAGGTGGGGGCCCAGATTTGGCCTAGAGGCTATAGTTTGCTGACCCCTGCTCTGGATTGTGTAGAAACATCCTCTAGCTTGTTCCCAAGGAGGCACTGAAGTGTGTTCCAACCCAGGCCCCGTTCCGGCTTTCCCACATCATCTCCTCCCCCCTGGACTCAGTCTTCCTGTTGCCCTTCACATTCCCAGGCCTGCCCTCCCAGGGAGGTACCCTGGATTTGGGACGCTGCCCCAGGCTTAGTTAAGCTCATCTGTAGGTTTCACGCCCTCAGGGCCCAGATCTCTATTTTCCATAAGCTACCTTCTGGTTCTGCAATTCTATGGTACCACTGATGTGACTCACTCCTAAACCCCACTTGCATTTTAACAGAGGCTTTCTGGAGAGGTGGCAAAGATGACATGAAGAAGATGGGGTCACTATAATTATTGAGGGTTCACCATGGGCCAAGGGCTTTGCCTGATTATTTCAATTGGGTCTCACAACAACCCTGTGCTGTGGGTATCATTCTCCTATAAAGCCCCCACAGTGAGGTGACTTGCCCAAAGACATATGACTAGCAGGCGATGAATCTGGGATGTAAACTCATGTCTGTCTGACCCAAAGCCCACACTTTTTGTCACTGTAACACATTATCTGAGCCTGATACTGAACCTCTTCATCTCAGTTTTGTGCCCAATGCACAATAAGCCATCACTGAGACATGCAGCTTGGAGATGGAGAAAGGTTTATTCCAATTGGCCAAAACAAGAAGGTGGGAGGATAGGTTCTCTCAAATCCACCTTCACAAAGAAGAAAGTAGGGGGATTTATAGAGCTAAGGGCTTGGCAGGAGCAGTTGCAGAGAAACAAAAGGGTAATCTGTGTTTCTTTCACTCCAGATGAGCCTTTGGACAATCTGACTTCTGGGTGTCAACAGCAGCTGAGGGCTTATTATCTGGTGATCATAACTTCCTTGAAGGCATTCTTTTTCTTCTGTAAAACAAGCTCGTAAATCCTTGTGACCCATGAGCCACACCTCAGGTTAAACAAGAAAACAGCAAAT